GTACCCGGGACGCAGAGCACGCGCCATGTTCGGCGGGGCACCGTGGTACCGGGGCCCAGACACGCCATGTTAAGCGAAACCACGTCAGCCCGAGTACCGGGGCGAACGCATATATTCGCCCGAACACCGCGTGGTACCGGGCCGGGGAAAGACACGCCATGTTCCTTGTGGCCTCGTGTGAGCACCGGGCCAGACGCATACCATGATGTGGGGGCGCGCGTGGTACCGGAAAGCGGGCGCATCGCCGGCGAGGAGCGCAGCGTGGTACCGGGGCGAAGCACGCCATGTTGCTGAGCCACCAGCGGCTGGTACCAGAGGCGGAAACGCATCGTATTAGCGGGTGCGGCGTGGTACCGCAGGACGAACACGCCATATTCGCCCGAAGACCGCAGCGTCGGGCACGGGGCCGAACACGCCATGTTGTGAAGACGCAGCGTGGTGACGAGGCACGCCATGTCGCGGGAGCACACGTGGTACCGGGGCGGGCACACGCCATGTTCGCGGGGCACGCGTGGTACACGGGGCGGAGGCACGCCATGTTCGCGGGGCACACGCGTCTGAAGGAAGTACAGGACGGGCGCCACTGTGTCATGATCAAGTCAGGGTAACTGGACCATCCATCACCTCAAAGATTTATCATTTGTGTTGGGAACATTCAGATCTTCTAGCAGCTTTCTTTGTTTTGTTTTTTGAGATGGAGTCTCTCTCTCACTTGTATTTATCATTTGTGTTGGGAACATTCCAGATCTTCTAGCTATTTTGTTTTGTTTTTTGAGATGGAGTCTCTCTCTGTCACCCAGGCTGGAGTGCAGTGATGCGATCTCAGCTCACTGCAGCCTCCACCTCCAGGTTCAAGTGATTCTCATGCCTCGGCCTCCTGAGTAGCTGGGACTACAGGCGTGCAGCACCATACCCGGCAAATTTTTTTTTTTAAGTAGAGACGGAGTTTCACCATGTTGGCCAGTCTAGTCTCGAACTCCTGACCTCAAGTGATCCTCCTGCCTCGGCCTCCCAAAGTGCTGGGATTACAGGCGTGAGTCACCACGCCTGGCCATAAAAGTCTTCTAGCTCTTATGAAATATAAAATAACTTATGGTTAACTATAGCCTCCCTATTGTGCTGTCGAACACTAGAACTACTCCTTTTGCCTGACTCTAGTTTTGTGTCCATTAACCAACCCCCTTCATCCTCCCGCCACTGCCCTTCCCGGCCTCTGGTGAGCGCCGTCCTTCTACCTCCGTGAGATCGTCTCCTCAGCTCCCGTGCACGGGTGGGAACACCGGCATTTGTCTGTCTGTGTCTGGACATTTCACTGAACATAATGACCTCCATGTCTTACAGATATTTTTGAGGGCCAACTACATAGAGGAACTGGTCTGGCCCTGGTTCTAGAAGGTGCAAGAGACCTTCCCACAGGACATTTCAGCCTGGGCTTGGGGCATGGGTGATTAGGTGTCTGGACCAGGGGTCAGAAGGTTTGAGGCTCCCCTGTGTTTGAAGGTGGGCAGAGACCTGCCCCTTAGGTGGTGCCTGCAGTTCCTTGGAGCCTCCTCAGCTCTTCTTTTTGAAACACCTGTCAGGGTCATACGCAGGTTTTTAGCCCTCCCCCTCGTCCCCCTCGTCCCCCTCGTCCCCCTCTTTCCTCCCTCCTCCCTTCTCCACCTTCATCCTCCTCCCTTCTCCTCTCCTCCACCCTCCCTCCTCTATTCTCTCTCCCCAACCCCCACTTCCCTCCACCTCCCTCCTCCCCCTCCTCTTCTATTCTCTTCCCTCCTCCCTCCTCCCTCTATCTCTCCTCCCTCCTCCCTTCTCCCTCCTCCCTTCTCCACCTTCCTCTTCTGTTCTCTTCCCTCCTCCCTCTATCTCTCCTCCCTCCTCCCTTCTCCACCCTCCTCTTCTGTCCTTTTCCCTCCTCCCTTCTCCTTCCGTCCCTCCTCCCTCCTCCCCCTCCTCTTCTGTTCTCTTCCCTCCCCCCTCCTCCCTCTATCTCTCCTCCCTCCTCCCTTCTCCCTCTCCCTTCTCCCACCTTCCTCTTCTGTTCTCTTCCCTCCTCCATCTCTCCTCCCTCCTCCCTTCTCCACCCTCCTCTTCTTTCCTTTTCCCTCCTCCCTTCTCCTTCCGTCCCTCCTCCCTCCTCCCCTCCTCTTCTGTTCTGCTTCCCTCCCCCTCCTACCCTCCTCCCTCCTCCCCTCCCACCACCCCCTCCTCTTCTGTCTTCTTTCCTCCTCCCTCCCGCCTCCTCCTTCCTCCCTCCCTCCCTCTCCACCCTCCTTCATTCTCTTCTCTCTGCCCTCCTCCCACTTCCCCTCCTAACCTCCTCTCCTCCAGCCCTGCTAGGTTTCCTCTCGGCGTCCCTCAGGTTCATGGATGATCTGAATGTTCTGAGGCCATTTTCTGGAATAAGAGAGACGTAAATGTGGGTCTTTTAGTTCATCTTAGTGTTCAGCTTAAAACAAATATCCTTCTGACCGGGTGGCGGTGGCTCAAGCCTGTAATCCCAGCACATTGGGAGGCCGAGACGGGTGGATCACGAGGTCAGGAGATCGAGACCATCCTGGCTAAAATGGCAAAACCCCGTCTCTACTAAAAATACAAAAAACTAGCCGCGCGAGAGTGGCAGGCGCCACCATAATCCCAGCTACTCGGGAGGCTGGGGGCAGGAGGAATGGCGTGAACCCAGGAGGCGGAGCTTGCAGTGAGCTGAGATCCGGCCACTGCACTTCCGTCCCTCCTCCCTCCTCCCCCTCCTCTTCTGTTCTCTTCCCTCCCCCCTCCTCCCTCCATCCCTCCTCCCTCCTACCCCCTCCTCTTCTGTCTTCTTTCCTCCTCCCTCCATGCCTCCTCCTTCCTCCCTCCTCCACTCTCCACCCTCCTTCATTCTCTTCTCTCTGCCCTCCTCCCACTTCCCCTCCCTAACCTCCTCTCCTCAGCCCTGCTAGGTTCCTCTCGACATCCCTCAGGTTCATTGGATGATCTGAATGTTCTGAGGCCATTTTGCTGGAATAAGAGACGTAAATGTGGGTCTTTTAGTTCATCTTAGTGTTCAGCTTAAAAACAAATATCCTTCCGGCCGGGCGCAGTGGCTCAAGCCTGTAATCCCAGCACATTGGGAGGCCGAGACGGGTGGATCACGAGGTCAGGAGATCGAGACCATCCTGGCTAAAATGGCAAAACCCCGTCTCTACTAAAAATACAAAAAACTAGCCGGGTGAGTTGGCAGGCGCCTGTAATCCCAGCTACTCGGGAGGCTGAGGCAGGAGAATGGCGTGAACCCAGGAGGCGGAGCTTGCAGTGAGCTGAGATCCGGCCACTGCACTCCAGCCTGGGCGACAGAGCGAGACTCCGTCTCAAAAAAAAAAAAATATCCTTCCAATGACATTATTCTTATTTCTTCTATTGAGTATGTTTGTGCCTTTAAATGACATACTTCCACTTAAAATGTTTTTTTATCATGAGATAGAATATACCCACAGAAAAATGCACAAAACATAAATATCCACTTTACAAGTCAATTATGAAGCAAATATTTGTGTAGCTACCACTCGATCAATAAATGCTTATTGCGGGCACCTTAGGGGGACTGTCCCGTCCACGCCCCCACCTCGACTTCCCCTCAAAAAGTGACCGCTCTTCTGATCTTCAGGGTTATAATGTTGCTGCTTTTATGGTTTGTATCTGTGGTCCCAGCCTTTTCGGCACCAGGGACAGGTTTTGTGGAAGACAGTGTTTTCACAGACCCATGGTGGGGGCATGGTTTCGGGATGAAACGGTTCCACCTCAGGCTGTTGGCGTTAGGTGGATTCTCGTAAGGAGCCTGTGACCTGGATTCCTCGCGTGCGCAGTTCCCAGTGGAGTCTGAGCTCCTGTGAGGGTCTCATGCAGCCGCTGCTCTGACAGGAGCGCAGCTCAGGCCGTGATGCTTGTCCAGCCACCGCTCACTCCTGTGACCTGGATTCCTCGCGTGCGCAGTTCCCAGTGGAGTCTGAGCTCCTGTGAGGGTCTGAGGCAGCCGCTGCTCTGACAGGACGATGAGCTCCGTTGGTGACGCTCGCCCGGCCGCTGCTCACTCCTGCTGTGTGGCCTGGTCCATGGCCCGGTACCAGCCCACTGCCCGGGGGTTGGGACCCCTGGTACACACTGTGTGTGCATTTCTTAAATAATATGGTTTATTTGGCTGGGTTTTGAATTTAAATAAGTGGAAAATACGATGTATATTCTCGTGTCTTGCTTGTTTCACTGAACATTAGGCTTGTGAAATTCATGGTGTGTTCGGCTGCTGAATGGCGTTTGAAACTAACGTGCACAATTCATTTATCTGTGATTCTCGCCATTGGGTTCTTTCCACATGTGAACGAGCTGCCGTCAGCAGGTCTGTGCGTGTGAGTGGGGCTTTTCCTACCCAAGTAGTCAGACGTCAGGGTCTTAGGGCAGCTTGTCTTCCGCTTTGCTGGGAGATGCCAGACGGTCCCCTCCACGGCGGTGGCAGTTCTCACCGCAGAGGGTCCCCAGCTCCTCACCACAGACGTCCCCTCCACAGCGGTGGCAGGTCCTCGCCGCAGCCAGCAGTGCATAGGAGCTCTCGTTCAGCCTAATCAAGTACACTTGGAATTGTCAGCGTTTTTTATTTTTCTCTCTCCATTGCATAGCTAATTGCGTTTCTCTGATGGCCGATGAGGTTTTTGGTCCACTGGAAATCCTCTTGCTTGATGGCCGGTTCAAGGTCCTTGCCTGTTTTGCTGTTGGATTGTCTATCGTTTTCTTACTTGCCAGTAGGAACTGCTTTACATGAGTTTAAAATATGTTCTTGGGGCTGGGCTCAAGCCTGTAATCCCAACTGTTTGGAGGCTGAGGCGAGAGGCTCAGTTGAGGCCGGGAGTTTGAGGCTGCAGTGAGCCGTGATGGTGCCGCCGCGCTCCAGCCTGGGCAATAAGGCGGGACCGTAGCAGCCCATCCATCAATCAGTGCAAACAAACAAATGTAAAGTGTGTTCTGTACCGCAGGATGACGTCATGATGCCCCAGCGGGTGAGGCTGCAACACCAGGCTGCCGTTCAGCACCCATCGAGCGTAAGTACTGGCCTCCTTAGTGTCGTTACTACCTTTAATGAAGTTACCACTGTGGTTCTTTAAATAAAGAGTTGTCCTGGGGTGGAAAGAGTCCGGCTGTGGTGCGACTGCCAAGTCACGGAGCGGGATCTGCAGCCGGCACGTCTCTGAGCCCTCGAGGCTGTTTTCCTCGGGAGAAAAACACGCCCCTGATTTTTTCTCCTGTTATTTTTACAGGGTGCAAAGGTGGTTGTGTTGTTTGTTTTTAATCAGCATTTTAGAAGCTGAGCACCTTAGACATGAGAACACAGGCTGAGAGCTATACCGTGTTCGCAGTTAGATGTTTTTCTTGTTTAGACAACCTTGCATAATGGTTTTTATCTTTAGAACGGCTTCTCGGTTGCCCCTCCAAGGCCAGGCTTCCTGGGGCCCCTCCTGAGCCCAGCAGTGCCCCGTGGGCTCCTCTGCCCAGCGGGAGGAAGCACCGAGCCCCACTGCAGACGGTGGGGCACAGGGCCTGGGGATCCCTGGAGCTGGTGTCCCAGCCACCCGAGGCTCCTGCCGGCTTCAGGGAAGGTGACTCGGTCCTCAGAGCCCTCGCTCAAGGTTTTAGAAGTGGGATTTTAACACCGAGGGATCCATAACCGTCCAGCGCCCGCGGTGTCTGCCCCTGGGCAGTTTGGTGCTCACCCTGGACAGGCCCCTGCCCTCCCCCCGCGGGGCTGTGTGTCGTGGGCACGTGTGCGGTTGGGTCACCACATGGCTCTGGTCACAGCCGGGCCGGTCACTGCAGGGTCTGTCCCAGGCGCGCTGGGAGCCCGGCTCCCCACAGAGCAGGTGCTGGTGACCGTTTCCCCGGGTGTGTTCCACGGAGATGGCTCATGAGATGCGCTCGTGGGGAGAAATGTCTCCAGGAGTGGGAAGGACTTTCGTTGGCCCGACGCGAGTCATTTTCTTCCAATCGGCTTTATTTAGGGTGCTCGGAATTTAGCCACTTACTTTCTGCTCTTAAGTTTAGCACCGTGGGCGGCCTTCGCTTCCCAGCCCCCAGTGCGTGAATCTCCCGGACTCCCCCCACGCCCTGCGCGTGGATCTCCCGGACTCGCCGCGCCCGCCCCGCGCGTGGATCTCCTGGACTTGCCACCACGCCCTCCACCTGCCCCGTGGGTGGATCTCCCGGACTCCCCACCACGCCCTCCACCTGCCCCGCGCGTGTGATCTCCTGACTGCTACCACGCTCCACCTGCCCCCCGTGGGTGGATCTCCCGGGATTTCACCACGCTCCACCTGCCCCGCGTGATCTCCCGACTCGCTACAGCCCGCCCCGCGTGATCTCCCGGACTCGCTTACCACGCCTCCCACCCGCCCCCCGGCGCGTGATCTTTCCCGACTCACCACGCTCCACCCGCCCCGCGCGTGGATCTCCCGGACTCCCCACCACGCCCTCCACCTGCCCCGCGCGTGGATCTCCCGGACTCGCCCCGCCCGCCCCACGCCTGCCTCCTCCTGAAGGTGCTGCGGTGTCTTCCTTTTCATGCAGCAGGTGCTGTTTTCCCGGCTTGAGTTTGAAACTGAGGATTCTTAGTCCCTGAGTTGTAATTGTTGGGCGAGGGGAGCTTAGGGTGGGGGAAGGTTGTTGGGGGGTCAGGGCAGGGGGCAATGGCAGGGCTGGTGCGCTGGGGCCGTCTGAAGGGGAGGGCCTGGGTGCTGGGGGAACCGGAGGGTGTTGGGAGGGGGAGGGTGTGGGGGTTTGGGGGGGAACAGCATTGAGGGGGAGGGGCTGAGTCGGGGCAGGGCTGGTGCGCTGGGGGTGGGCGGCGCTGGGGGTGCAGCTGGGGGTGGGCGGCGCTGGGGGTGCAGCCGGCTGCAGGGGGTTTGCGTCTCACGTGCGCAGACGCGGGCAGGAGACAGACTGAGACACAGGCCACCTTCTCGGGTGCAGAGGGACCACACGGTTGCCTCCTTTGGGGGTGTGTCGGGTCCCGGGGCTCAGTGGCCCCAGCGTGGCTGCAGAGCCTTCTGTGGGGGCACATTTTCCATGAGGGCAGGAGAGAGCTCTGTCGCTTGCACCAGATTCTTAAAAGGGTCACGTGTTTGCAAAGTTTGGGAACCACAAATATGTCTGAATATGTTTCTCTGTAGCAACCACAAATATGTGTGAGTGGGACTTAGCAGATCCACGGCAATCGGTGCCACAGGCTCCAGAAGTCGGTTTCTGGACGTTTGCAGGCGTGGACTACCTGGGAGAGATGTCCAGGAGTGTCTGCGTGTCGGGCGGGACGGGGATCCAGGGATCTAGGGGTTAGGGTGGTTTCTACCCCAGCCACGGGTGCTGTGGGTTTCAGTCACATGGAAACAAAGAGTGGTCAAAGACGGCTTTTCTGGGCTGGTTCCTTTGTGGGGAATACGGGAAAATGGAGGGAAAATGCCCTTCAGGATGGACTTCTGTGGACAGTTTACATCAAGGAAAGTGCAGAGTCTGGGGTTTCCAGGAGGGCCCTTTGCTGTGAGGTGTGAGATACCACACGTGGAGGCTGAAGAGGAAAGGGGCATCCCCGCCACGTTAGCTGCCCAACAGCTCCCTTTGCATCCCTGCTCTTGCAGCTGTGTGGTCCTGTGGACTGAAAGGTGAGGCAGACCCTGTGCCGGCCCGTGAGGTGGAAACCGTGGCTGGACTGAGCCGTCCTTATGTGAGGTGCCACGTCTTTCACTCGGCGATTTTTACACAACTAGAAATGATAGTTGCCAGGTATTTAGAATAGATCATACAAATGTCTAAGAAATTTTGTAATGAGTGTTGACATTTTAGTGGAGGAGATACTTCCAGATGTGTTTTCATTTCCATACTGAAAAACAAGCCCAGACTGGCTTCATTAATGGAGTTGCTTTTGGCAGTTCTTCGTGGCGTGTGTTCACGCGAGCTGGGATACTTCGGAATACGCACGAATGTGGAGAAAATGCACATGCCCAGTTTGTCTTAATTGTAATAAGACAACCTTGATTTGCATTTTCATCGATGATTTTAAACCTTTTTCTCGCTACTCTTCTCACTGCCTTCGCTGATGCTCTGTTGTGCACTCGGGAGAGAAGCTTCCGGCCCAGGTGCCTCCTCTTCTCCTGATGGTGTGGTTAGGTGGAGTGTCCACGCCGTTTCTCCACGTCGAAGCTCTTTTGCGGGAAACTTAGGGATGTCATCATAGTTTTGTTTCACTGAAACAAAGTCAGCTTTAGAAAGGCTGTTATTGCGTGGCTGCATTTTTTAGAAATCATGACCTACAAAAATCTTAATTTGCAGTTGCTGGTTAGTGGTTACGTGAATTACATTGTGTAGTTTGTCCTGAGAGAATGAAGTAAATGCTGAGTGCATACTTGTGCTTGGTCGTTGTTTTCTTAAGGTCTTTTACGAGAAACCATCTAATTAGGAAGGACCTTTGATGACAGCTTTCATAAATGCATTTGCATATAAATAAATCACTGCAGAACCTTAGGAACCCTGCATCGGGCATCGTTACGCAAGATTAGCAAGAACAGGGAGTGCCGCAGTGCGCCCTGTAACGTGCCCCTGCTCCTGAGGGCCAGTTGGCCCCCGTGCTTCCTGCCGCTTTTGCCCCGGCTGACCCTTGGATTCCTGATGCTGTCACCCGCCTCTGTGCCTGTGCTCAGGAGACCCCGGAGAGGAAAGTCTGCATTCATGGTCACCTCTAGACCACCCCACACCAAACACGGAGGCTGCCCTGGCTCCGCCCACCTCCTTTCCAGAACTGATCTCTGTTCCCAGTGTCCAAGACCAGTCCTCAGGGCACAACCCCATGCGCCCTCATCCTCCTGGTGAGCCTGGTGAGGGCGGGCGCTCCACCTGAGGGCACAGCCTCACCCACTCTCGTCCCCCGGGATGGAGCATGCAGGGAGGGTTAGGGAAGCGAAGCGAAGGAACAAAGACAGGAGGGTTCCTGTGGAGCAGCCTGAGCCACAGCTTGCCTGTCAGGGAATGGGTGGAGCCGCCGTACCCGGCATCCTCTGGCACTGTCCCTCGCCCCCTGCCTATGCCAAGCCATAATCATCCGGACGGCACGGCACCCGACTCTCCCGGCTTCTACTTCTGCCCCCACAAGAAGCTGCATGTTCACTTAAATAAACAAAACTTCCAGGTGTTCTGTTTACATGAAGTCCGCCTTGCACTCTGCAACCTTTGTCCGAGGAGCTCCCGGAGCGCAGGGCTGGAGCGTCAGCCCCTCTGCACAGGCAGCCTGGGAGGGCCACGGCCCCAGCCCCGTGAGCCTGTGCCCAGACCGGTGGGCGACTTCCCCAGCAGGAAGGGGTCGGAACAGGCCAGACCGGGCCTCGGAGAGGCAGAAGCTGTTGCAGTGACTGACTCTCAGCTCTCGAAGGCCCGGAGTGCTTACGGGCTCTCCTCTGACAGTGCTCTTTGCTCCCCGAGGCAGTCAGTGACAGGGTCCCATTGGACGGGTGCCTCAGGGCTCTGCTGGGCTGTAGTTCAGGCTGTTGGCCCTGGGCGTTCCTCCTTCACCTTCGTCTTCACCATCGCTGCTCAGGAGTGGCGGCCGAAGCCCCTGGTGCTGGTGACTCTGGACCCTGGGGCCTGGCTCAGCAGCAGCAGTGCTGGGGGACAGTCGTCTGCCTGGTGTTTGGGTGACCTCCGCGTGCACCCCCAACTGCCTGCAGCCCCCGCACCAGGGTCCCCCACAACCCCCCCCAACTAGGGCCCCCCCAGCAGCGGACGGCAAGTCGTTGACTCCAAAGCGGTGGCCCCAGGGAGTTGATGTTAGTGTCAAAAATGCAGCTGTTCTTTCTTTCAGTGTAATTTAGAAGCTGACTTCTCGAGTCCGTTCCAGAACGTGTCTTTCTGGCAGGAGCCATTCTCAGCTCTGGCTGCGTTTGTAATGCTTTGCCTCCCGCCTCAGCCCAGCCCCTGCTTCCTCCCTCGCACCCGGCACCCTGCACTGAGGTTGCCTCCCCGGGTTCACCCAGACGCACTTGACCCTCCTGCGCTGCCCATCGAA